ATTTAATGCTTCTGTGCCGCCAGCTCGCCGTCATTACCGTGGAGCCAGACAGATGGATGCCCGGGGGAGAGGGCAGGAGTCAGGGCTCGGAGCTGGCAAGGCCTGGGATCCACACTGGAGAGCACTCCCCTCCTCCTGCCCTGCTCCAAGTGGAGTCCCAGTGTGGGATGCTGGATGCAGCCCCTGGCTGTGCAGGGATACAGAGCCCCCACAGCCCTGCCTGTGGAAAATCTGCCAGAGGAAACACTGACCAAAGGAGGCTTGGATGCCCCTCATGTCTTACAGCGGGGAGACCCACAGGGTGGAAATCCATATGGGGTGAAGAACACCTTCCTGGATGGAGACATGGCCCCTGGGCTGCTCTGTGCCCAGCTGCCAGATTCAGAGAGTGGTTTAAGTTGCAAGAGACCCTAAAGCCCATCTTGTTGCACCCCCTGCCACGGGCAGGGACACCTTCCACTAGACCAGGTTGCTCCAAGCCCCATCCAGTACCATTTTTCCCACTGGGAAAAATAAAAGGACCCAAATTATCCACTGGAGGAAATCCACAGCACTCAGCTGCATCTGATGCAGCCCAGAGGGGAGAATGCAGCTTCCATGGGGATGGACAAGCACACGAGGATGGTCCAGAGCAAGCTGCACAAGCATGCAGAGGCTTGAGCTTGTCCCAGAAGCCACAATAAATCCTGTCTCACCAAGCAGAACTTTCCTTTTGTCCAGAGATGCCAAATTTCTGCAAGTTCATTCCTTTCTACTAAAATTGATTAATTACACTCCCAGTTGGGTTACCAGTAGCTGCTGCTGTCATCGGCCTTGCTGTGCTTTCGCAGGAAAATCCATGTATTTTGTTCCCACACGTGTTTCACCTTTTGGCTGCTGGGCAGGGCAGGGGGGATCCCCCTGTGAGGCTGCCTGCCCTGCCAACCCCCTCTCACCTCAGCATCCCTGCTAAAAACATCACCCTGTGCAAAATCCAGTGCTCTCAGCCTCCTCCATCGCTCGCCCCCTTGGCCACCACCCTGGAGCTGCCAGCGCAGCCGTCGGATGTCTGCTCTGCTGACTCCATATAATGCAAGTTCTACAAATGAAAATGTCACATGGCCCTAAATTAAATACTTTGGAGAAACCCATTATAATGCAGCAGCACAATTAGCTTTATCAGCCAGCCCAGAGTCATGCCAAAAACCAAAGCCTACTCACTTGACAGGAGCTGCCATCCATGAAACCAAGCTAACGACCTTAATTATATTTTTAGCTTCTAATTTTTGGCTGACAGTATCCTCAATTACCCAGCCCATAATTTGTGCAGGGATGGTGATCAGCCTCACCTGGCCTGTAATTCCTGGGATCAGCCCTTTTATCCCTTTTAAATATTAAATTGACTCCCACTGGCCAGCCTCCAGTCCTCTGGAATTTCCCCAGGGTTTTAGTGTTAAAAATTAACAGCAGAGCTCCTGGGCAGGCTGCAAACCCCTTCCCATGAGGGTTCTGCCAGGAAAATGCCTCTCCAGAGAGAATTCAGTGGTAAGGACAAGGAGTTGTTCCCACCAGGTCAAAACTCCACGTAATCAGATCAGCTGTTCTGGCCAAAGATTGTTCTTTGACTCATCTCCCTTATCCACCACCCACGCTTTACACCTCAGCACACAACCCTGGCACTGAACCCTCCTTTCCCTGCTCCTTCCCCACGCATTTTTAGGGCTTTTTCTGTGCCAGACCTCAGCCAACTCAGGTCTTTTCCCATCTGGCCATCCTTGGTCTCCAGCTGGCTGCTGGGTTTGGGGAGCCAGCCCTGAACACAGCCTGGCTTTTGGTAAAATGCTTCCCTTTTCCAGATCTGTGCTGGGCTTTGGTTTGGAGGCTGTGCTGAGGCACAGGGGTAGCCCGGGGTCAGACCCTCGGCTCAGGGGCTGCCCCAGTGCCCAGACACCACCCAGGCGGGTGCTGAGCATCCTCGGGATGATGCCCCACTGCAGCCCCAGGGCTGGTGAGAGGACGAGGAGCAAAGGGAGGGTTGGAGCAGTGTGGGGGACCCCGAACCCCCCGGGCTCTGGGGGCTGCTGCTGGCGGTGCCAGGGAGGGGCAGGAGCCAGCTGGGGACTGGGGGGCTGCAACCCCACAGGGAAGCGTCCAAGGCCAGGCTGGACAGAGCAACCTGGGATAGTGGAAGGTGTTCCTGTCAGGGAACTGGATGAGCTTTAAAGCCCCTTCAACCCCAACCAAATTCCATATATTGCGATTCCCCTTGGCCTTGGCCGGAGCTGGGGGCTCGGAGGATTTTGGGAGCCCCCGGAGCCAGCGGGAGCCGGGCTGGGCTGGCCAAGGGTGCCATCTCCTGGGGACAGATCCGCACAGCGCCGACAGGAGCCGCACCCCGAGGGGGACAGCCCTGCCCCGGCACACGGCGGTGTCCCTGGGCATGGCCACCGTGTCCCCACGGGCTGGTGGCAGCAGCCGAGGCTCTGTGCTGTGCCACGAGGTGACAGTGGCAGGACAGGGGGGATGCCCAGGGGACATCCCGGCCCCAGCGCCTCCACAGGGAATTGGGGTGACAGAAATGAGCCCTCGGAGCTGTCTGCGCTCAGCCCGGCTCCGCAGTTGGCAGTTTCGACCCAAAAGTCTTTTCTTCCAAAGCAGTTTTCTCTTCCCCTTCTTCCCCCACAGCTCCTTTTCTTCAGGTCCTACCGGGGGCACGTGTGTGAGCAAAGATCCTGGCCAGGGCTCGGGACTGCTGAAAGCAGATGGGCTGAGAGGAGAAAAGCATCCCAGCAAAGCTGCTCAACCCCCTAAAAGTTTTCAGAGCCAAACATTATCCACCCTGCCTGTCTGCTGTTACCTGCAGCTCTCCTTGCAGCACGACCCCTGGGGCAAGAGCCCAGCAGAAAAACAGCTTTTGTTGTCAGGACAAAACTGGGCTCTGTCACCCCAAAGAGAGCGTGGCACCTCCGGAGGCAGGCACAGATGGGCACTGAAGGATGCAAAAGGATGTGGGGGATGCAGGGGGGATGCAGAGATCACAGATGGATACAAAGCCATGCAGAGGGGTGCATTGCACTGGAGGATGCACAGGGAGCAGCTGGATGATGCTCTGGGGAAGCGGTGAACACAACAAAGGAAGGGTTTCATCCAGAAATCCAGAGCAGGGGGCTGGGGGTGGCTGCCCAAACCACAGGAACAGCCCAGGCAGGACACGGTGGCAGCCACTGCCTTGGCTGTGAGACAGGAGCTCATGGGGACCATGTCTGGAGGTGTTGGAGAGCCATGGAGCATCCTCAGAGGCTGTAGGACAGGGGTGATGAGGTTTGGGGCTGAAGAAATGGGGCTCCATCCACACAGCCCCAGAATTCTACAGCTGAAAGCACACTGCCTGATCCCTGCTCAGCGAGGAGGGACAAACCACCCCCAAGTGCTTCTCACTTCCCTCTTGAGCGCTCACCGGGGTGGAAACTGCAAGTCTCTGGTGCTATTTACAGAGGTGAGTTTCCCCTGCAGAACCCCGAGAGCCTGGGGCCGTCTCTCCCTGCTCGGCCACACTCAGCCAGCTCAGGCAATGCCAGAATCATGATCCCCCACTCCCAGTGGGAGACTCAAGCACAGCAATGATCCCATCCTTTTCACCAGGTACACGACGTGTGGCATGTGGCAGTGTTGCAGTGTCCCCAAGGCTGTGGTGACTCCTCTCTTGGTCCTTCCTCCAAGCCCTGAGGTTCACTGGATGGTGCCAGTGCTGCTTCCCACCCTCCTTCAGGATCTGGGATGTGATGGGCCACATCCAAACACAAGATGCTGGGCTCCTCTGCCTTGGGCTCTGCTCCCCACGAGCAGGATCAGCCTCCAATGCCCTGCAATGGACACAGTAACAAAACATCCTCTGGCCCCTCCATTCCAGCTCCACATGGCAAGGATAGGAGTTCTTGAACCAGACAGAAAAACCTTTGATGGTGCTCCACTAATGTTTTTAGTAACAGGTATTGCTGCTTCCTTCCTCCTTCAGCTGTTTCTGCAGAAAGGTCCCTCTGGGCTGAGCTGAGTCACAGTTCTGCCACGCTCCCAGCACCTCGTGTCTCCTCCTGGCATCACTGCCAGAACCATGCCCAGCATCTCTGCAGGAAGCAGGGACCAACCTCTGCAGGCTGCCAGCAGTGTGGAGGTGGCTCTTTCCCCCTGTGAAAACAAGCTGTGTTATTACTGTGCTCTTATTAATGTAATCAATGTGCTATTAACGTGTTATTAATGTGCTATTAACGTGTTATTAATGTGCTATTAATGTGTTATTAATGCATTGTGCCCTGAGCCCAGCCCGGACTCAGCTGCCCATGCAGGGCATAGCAGAGCCCTCCTGCCTCCCAGACATGTCTGACAGAGAAAGTCAGAGTTTGAGGCACCTCACTGGGCTCCAGAGATGTTCTGAGAGCTGTGAGCAGGAGACAGGGTGGTGGCTTGGGCTGAGCATCGTGAGGACGTGGAAAGGATGGATGCCTGCTTCTGGCAATTGCCTCTTGTACAGAGTGAAACACCTTTCTCTGAAGAAAACATCCCACAGCACAGGCTGCCCAGGACAGTGGTGGAATCACCATCCCTGGAGGGATTTAAGAGGTGTTTAAGTGTGGCACTTGGGGATGTGGCTCATCTGTGAATGTGGCAGTGCTGGGGGGATGCTTGGACTGGATGATCTTTGAGGGCTTTTCCAACCTTTTTATGATTCTGGGATTCTGCTGCAGTCCTGTGGTGCAAGAGCAGGTGCTGCAGAGCTCCCACTCCACCGAGGCCCTCTGAAATGTGGCCACCTGGCCCAGGACACCTGTCCCTGGTCCCTGTGACACATCACCCTGCAGTGTCCCCCCACCCTGTCCCCAGCAGCCCAGGGACCCCACGAGCCAATGCAAGGCGCTGAGTGCGCAGCCAATTTGCATGGAAGGGACAAGGGGAAACCCCAGGAAATGCACAGCCCAGGCATTAATCAAATCTCTCTAATAATAAACCCCTGAGCCATGCAGGAGCTCGGGGCTGCAGCTCGTGGGGCCATGGCAGGAGCCGAGGGGGAGTAGCCACGGCTGGAGAGGCAGATGTGAGTTACGCCATGGGGGGCTGCAGGGGTCTGGGGTGAGGGGTTTGTCTGTGCCAGGGCTTGGGTTTTATCGTGCTGCCAGTGCCAGCAGGGAGTGGAGGGTCTGCTCAGAGCTCCCACCCTGCTGAAGGTGGCCAGTGCTGTGGGGCTGGAGAGGGAATCACAGAATGCTTTGAGCTGGTGGGGAGCTTAATTCTCATCCAGCCCCTGCCATGGGCAGTGACACCTTCCACCATCCCAGCTTGCTCCAAGCCCGGTCCAACCTGGCCTTGGACACTTCCAGGGATGCAGGGGCAGTCACAGCTTTTCTGGGTAACCTGTGCCAGGGCCTGCCCACCCTCACAGGGAAGTATTTTTTCCTGATCACTAATCTAAATCTACCTTCCTTCAGCTTAAAGCCATCCCCCCTTGTCCTGTGGTTTCTTAAAGCTTGGTATGAGGGGTCTGTGGGAGAATTCAGAGGTTCCTGGTGGTTGAGAGGCAAAGGAAAAGACTCACCTGGCTCTGTTGGAAAACCCATGGCAGAGAATGTACCTTGGGACTCTCCAAGGAGGGAAAAATGAGGCTGAACATCCCCTTGGACGTGTCCTCGCAGCATCTGGGGGGGAGGGTCCGAGCCTGCAGCCCCTCAGCTTTAACACAGCCCCAAATCTGCTTCCCATTAATTGTCCCATGGGAAATCCCACCTAGGTCAAGGATGGCTCAGCTCCCTGCCATCCCCAGGGCTTGCAGTAACCCCCAATCCTTCTGTGGCTTCTCTGGGTACAAAGATTCTTCCAAGAGCATCCCAGGACAGCAGTGGCTTGAACCTCACTCTGCCCTGGCAGTGTCTCCAGTCAGCTCGACAGAAAGTCATTATTTAATTTTATAGCAATGTTAATTGAACAAGTGGGAGTGTCAGGCCAGCATCCCAGTGCAGAGAGGATTTTTCCCTGGGAATGGGAGGGTTTCACACGTGCTGCCCCAGGCAGGATCCAGCCCATCCTCAGCCCTGCTGTAGGGAAGGTGCAGGAGATGCAAAGTGCCCAATCTCTGCACACTCCTGAGTCCTGGAGAGAGAGGAGAAATCCTGGCAGAGTGCAGAGGATTTTCTGTACAAAAATCAAAGGTTTGGCTTTGCCAAAGCAGGGGCTCACACTCAGGGCACACAGAGGCTGATGCTGCGGCTTTGGGGAGGTTTTAAACCTTTGGGCCCCGTCAGCACCAGCATCTCCCACCCATGCAGGAAACAGCTGCGGCTCCAGGCACGGCTCTGGGGAGGGATGTGGCTCCTGAGAGCCCTCCCAGGCAGCAAAGGGCACATTTCCACCACGGCCACCTCGTGCTGGGTTAGAGCTTCCTGCAGCTGCTCCGTCATGCTGGCTGCAGACCTCGCACGTGGCACAACACAGGAGCTTTTAGCAGCCAGCTCATTCTTCAGAATGTAAAGTTTTGAGCAGATTTTTATGCTGCTGAGAACTGCTCCTATGCCTCTGGCATCACATCCAGGGTGCAAGGGCAGGGGGAGCCCACAGGAAGGATGGGACAAGCAGGCCTGTGATAGGGACAAGAGCACGTCCACCTCCAGCTGGCACTGGTTCAACAGTGCCTAAAGTCTCCTGGGGAGATTTCCCTCCTTCTTCTGCTCTGACATGTCTTACACATCAGCCTGGGTTTCACTATGACACTAGAACACCCAAGAGAAAGGGCAGGAATGACACACAAGGTCTTGTTTCTGGTATTTTCAGAAAAGCCTGTGAAGACAGGAATGATCACAGTGCTTGTGCTCCACTGGCAGGTGCAGGGGTCCCCAGACCCTCGGGGCACAGCACAGGGCCACCTCTAAGCCAGGGTGGGCTCTCTGTGTGTCACCTGGGGCTGGCACAGGACACACACACAACTTGAAAAGCAGATTTGGCTGCTCTTGCTCAAACCTGGGACCAGAGAGGGCTGAGGGACACCAGGACCTCCCTGCCAGGGGTCCCAGCCCTAGAAAGGGACGAGGTGGCTGCAGAGCAGGCCGGTGGTGGCCACCCCATACCCACCTGTGTCTATGTTCTGCAGCCATGGATGGGACACGTGTGGGGCAGGATGCCATGAAGAACTGCACTGACCTGGAGTACTGGGACACCCTCGTTTCCCAGTGCATCCCCTGCAGCCTCGCCTGCAGGCAGTCCCCGGCCAGGAGGTGTGATGCTGTGTGTGGTGAGTGCTGGGGTGACTCTGGGTGGAAGAGTCAGGGATGGGGCAAAGCTGGGAGGGAGGATCAGAGCCCAGGATGAACCCTGGGCAGGCTCTGAGCTGGCTCAAATTTGCAAAGCTTCCAGCCAAAACCACTGGGGGATGAGACAGCTTCCCTTGGATGAGCTGGGGCTGGAAACAGCTCCAGAGCGAGGCCAGGAGCAAGTGCCTGCACCTCTGCTCCCTGCTGGGGTCACAAGGCTGCATCAACACTTGTGTCCCCTATCAGGGCCACCCCACCCTCCAAAGGCAGGGCTGGGGAGCCACCAGGTTGAGTGGATAATGATAAACCCCCAACCTGGGACAGGCACTGAGCTGTCCTGAAAAACAGGTGGGGAGGAGGAAAAGGGAGAGAGAAACTTTGCACCCCAACCCTGCGCCAGGGCCCATCCTTGACTCACAGGCTGAGGTGGCTTCAGCCCCTCCCAGCAGCTCATTCAGCAGCCACAAGTGAAAATCTCCTCGCTGAGGACAGGAGATGCCGGCTCTCCAGCCCAACATCACCCCAAATCCATGGATCTGTCACCCTGGCAGCCCTGCAGAGGCCGTCAGTGCTTCGGGCACTGGGCAGGTCTCACCCCAGCAGTGAGCTGGGCTCATCCTCTCACCAGGCCGGGCATTGGGGTGGTGGGGATGGGCTGAGGACACCGTGACCATCTCCCTGCCCTCCCCCAGAGTCCATGGACTGCAACAAGAGACCTGGATTTTACTACGACGACCTTGTGAAGAACTGCATCGAGTGCAGCTCAGTGTGCGGGCAGCACCCCAAGGAATGTGCCCTGTCCTGCGACCGTGAGTTGGGGAAGGGGCACCAAAACACCCCCACTTTGTCCCAGGGGACTGCACTTCTGGGGGCTTCCATTTCACTGGGGCTGGGGAAAAGCAGCCAGGGCATCTCTTTCCCATTTTCTCCATCCTACAGTGGTTTTTCCCTGTGGTGTGCTGGTGTTTTACAGCAGCTGTGGATCCCACCCGGCTGAGCTGCCCCAGCCCTCGGGGAGGGCGAGTAGGAGGGCTCAGGGAGATCTCCAAGATCTCCAAGTCCTGCCCTGGGGCTGAGACGATCCCTGGAGATGAGGGAGGTGTGAACGGGGTGTGGGAAGGGATCTCTGCCTCACCATGGCAGGGAGGTGCCAGCGAACAGAGGGGACACAGAGCTGCTCTCAAATTCCTCCCCAGTGGAGGGCACAGGTGCTTTCAGCTCTTCCCCTGTCAGAAAGCCACCCCAGGGTGTCTGAGCTGCCCCTTCTCTCCTGCCCCACAGCCACGCCCGCAGGGCCGGCGGCAGGGCTGGAGCAGAAGGCGTGTGCGGAGCAGGAGCCGTGGCTGGTGCTGTACCTGCTGCTGGGGCTCTGCCTCTGCTCCCTCATCTGCTCCCTGCTCCTGGGCTGGACCCACCTGCGCAGGAAGGGAGAGGGGGTCTCCTGCCAGGCCAGCGCTGGGACCTGCCACCGCCGGGAGGACCCTGCCAAAGGTGGGTGCTGCAGCGCTGCGGGCACTGGGAGATGCTGGGGAGCTTGTGGGGGGCAGGCTCAAAGCCTGGGGAGGCAGAAAAAGCAAAGACAAGGAGTGTGAGCCTGGAAGAGGAGCAGAGTGGACCCCTGAGCCCGATTCTGTAACCCCTCAGGCACTCAGCAAAGCCCAAGGCACAGCTCCCTCTTGGAGCTGCTCCATAGCTCCATGGACCTCTCCAGTCTCCATCCAGAGGCTGAGGGGAGAAAAGCCAACCCTCTTCCAAAACAAACACCTGTCCCAGAAAAACCCAGTTTTAGTTCTGCAGCCAGAGGGGCTTCACAAAGTCCTTGTGTTAGGGAGAAAAGCACAAAGGACAATGTGGAACAATTCAACATGGAGAAGGTGTTTTTATTCTTCCTCCTTTTCTTCTCTCCTGCCTTTCCAAAGAAAAATTGCCTACTTACCTATTCCTGCACACACATCACACACATCCATGTTTACATAAATCCACGTCAAAACCATGACTGTCAAAAATCACAGAGGAAGACCCCATGAGCCAATGTGACACCTGGAGTCACTCCAAGGACTGTCCCTCAAGCCATTCCTGTCTGCTTTGCTGAAGGACACAGGGATCAAAGGGTCATTTTTAAGATAAGCCAGGAGGTTTGGGGAGATTTTCTGGGTGTTTCAGGTGATGCAGTGAATCCATGCTGGGAGCTGGGTGTCCTCTCCAGTTCCAGGAGCAGCTTTTCACAGGCTCTAGTGCAGCACTTCAGAGCATTCTCAGGTAAAAGCTGCTCCTAAACCCCCTTGGCTGATGCAGAGTTTATTTGCAGATCAGCTGGTGGAAGCTGGCAGCGTTGGTGACGGATTCACCAGCATCAGAATCCCAGAGCCCGTGGAAACTTGTGGCTTTTGCTTCCCTGGACATGGCTCTGCTGTACAAGAGACCAAATCCTGTCACAGCAGCTCCTGTCACCCTGGGGAAAGAGCTGCTCCCTCCTTCTCCGGGATCTGCAGCACGGGAAGCGCTGGGGCTGTTCCCAGCCCTGACGACGGCCACTTCAAAATCATCTGTTCTCCTTCCCAAGAGAAGACACCCATGGTGTGAGCACAGTGGATGTTCCAGCACGGGATCAGAATGGAGGGGTGCTCCCTCTGCCCCCGAATCAAAGCTGCTTCTCTGTTGCCAGTGACTGGAACAGCCTCTACCCAGCCCAGGCTGTGCCAAGGGCTGTAGGATACACACGGGGTTGGAGTTGCACAGAGCTGTTTGTTTCCACTCAGGAAACTGAATTCCCTTTATTCCTGAGCACTCCCAGTGAAAGAAGTTGCTTCCCATGCAGCAGGATCTGACTTCATCCTCCAGCTTGCCCTGGGTGCATCCTGGCCATTGGGGACATCTCATGGGGGCTTTTCATCCTGGTTCCACCACCAGCATCCCTGCAAAGGATCAGGTGGTGCCCACTGGTCCCCATGGAGAGCTCACCTCCCCCTGCTTGGAGATTCCTTCATGTACCAGAACAATTTTCAACACAGCTGTAAATGTCTCAAATGTGGAATTGGATCCAAGGATTTACTGGTGAAATTTATGAGTCAGTGTGGGAAGCTCCACTGTCAGTTTCCAGCCAGGAGTGATGGTGAGGCTTTGCCTCATGACCAGGACACGATGCTGAACATGAGGAGCTGGGACAGGCACCAAAATCCTCAGTGGAATTTGGTTTAAATATGAAAATTCATCCAAGGCTGAGATCTTTCTACAAAACTGGATTTATGTGTATCTGGCCTGGGTTATTCTGAAGAGCTGGTAGAAGTGAGGAATCAGCTGGAGATAAAGCTGCTTTGAGAGAATATTTTAATCTAACCTGGCTTTGAAAGCTACCAAGGAAAAATAGGGGTTTCAATGTGTAACTTGAAGTTCACATTTCCACTAAAGGAGACTGTAGGAATTTCTTGTTTGGTGAGGAATCCCTCTTGGTAGGAGCCTATCCCCTTCACTGTCTCAAACTAGAGCTTTAAACTTGTAGGAATAAATGTAATTCAATATATGCACAAATTGGTGTTGGGAAAGCAGACAGCAGACATGATCAGAGTTATAATGGATTCTATCCCCTCTATATTATACATTCCTTTAAATATAAAGACTTTCTTATCACCAAAAAAGGCATTGCCTGGGAGGTTGAGCCTCTCACTCTGGTCACCTCCCACTCTCTTGGCACCCACAGTCCGTGGCCTCCCAACCTCCAGACCTTCTCTACGTCCCAGCAAACCTGGAGACCCCCTTGGCCTCTCTTCTCTCATCGGTGCCTTCCCCTCCACCTCCACAGCCTCAGCTCCCTCCTGTGGAATCTGTTCCAGTGCCCTCAGCTCTCCTGCTGTCAGTTCCTGTGATCCCCAGACCTGTGCTTTCCTGCCCCACAATCTCCTACACCCAAATCCTCTGGCATCAATAGCAACCTGATTCCTCTAGGACTCCAAAAGCCTTTCAGCCCCAGAAGTCCCCTTGGCCTCCAACCCTTGCTCAGCCTCAGCTCTCCCTGGCGTGGATTAATCTCTCCCTCAGCCTCCCCAGGCTCTTGGGTCCTGTTGCAGCTCAGCCTCTTTCTTGCCCTCCCACCATCTCCTGCTCTGCCCTTCTCTCCTACATCCTTCAGTCTCCCTCTCGGTTCTCCTCAGGTTCCTGCTTGTGCTCAGACCTCCAAAGCCTCTTGGCTTCTCCTCTCCCCTCGCCCCTGCTCCCTTCCTGCAGCACCATGTCCCCCACCCTCCCCGGGGCCCCCCAGCACCGACAGCCCCACATCTCTTCCTCCTCTGGGTTTCCCTTCCCAGACTCTGCAGGGAGAATCCCAGGATGGTTTGTGTTGGAAGGACTCTTAGAGATGATCCCATTCCACCCCTGCCATGGGCAGGGACACCTTCCACTGTCCCAGGTGGCTCCAAGCCCCATCCAGCCTGGCCTTGGACACTTCCAGGGATCCAGGGGCAGGAACTTTTCGGGGCAACCTCTGCCAGGGCCTCCCCACCCTCACAGGGAGGAATTTTTTCCCTATTTCCCATCTAACCCTGCCCCCTGGCACTGGGAAGCCATTCCCTTTTGTCCTGTTACCCTTTGCTCTTGTCCCCAGTTCCTCTCCAGCTCTCCTGGAGCCTTCTCTTCTCCAGGTGAGCATCCCCAGCTGTCCCAGCCTGGCTCCATGGCAGAGGAGCTCCAGCCCTCAGAGCAGCTCTCTGAACTCTCTCCACAGTTCCACATCCTGTTTATATCAGGGGCTCCAGAGCTGGAATCAGTGCTCCACGTCAAGGGTTTTGCACTTACCTTGGGGCAGCACCAGCACATCCTCTCCTGACACCAGGGCTGGGAATGCCCCCAGCTCCGTGCCCCCTCTGCCCAGGCACTTCCCAGCAAGGACAGGGAATTCAGGAGAAAGGAGAACCCTCAGCAGCAGCCGGTGCCTTACCAGGCTGCCCCTTTCCAGCAGGGAGCTCCTGGGGACACGTGGATCCAGCCCAGCTCTGGTGCCCTACAGACCTTCAAGTGTCACCTCCAGGAACCCCTGGTCATGGTATTTATACAAAGAGATTCAGAGCCTTATTTAAAAACAGGACAGAATTAAGTGAACACGTGGCACCAGTGTTGCAGTTAGAGTATCCCTGGAGGATCAAGAGGCATCAATTATTCAAATGAGAAGGATTTTAGGGCCATGCCTGTGCCAGTGAGAGCAGGAGCTGACCCTGTGTGGCACCAGCAGCTCCTGCCCCAGCTGGCTCAGGAGGCCACTCACCTCACACCCAGGCAAAGCCAGGGTTGGGACAGGGCTGCTCCTCCTGTCACCATGTGGTGTCTCAAAAATTGGGGAAAACACTCATCAGAAGCCAAGTCCTTCCCAGATACAAGAGAGAAACATCCCTCACCCTCCCCTCCTTGTGGGAATGTAACTACAATTATCAACAGAGAAAAGGTAACACAGAGCAACTTGAACAAATTAGCAGGAAAATAATGAACACCCTTAGCTGGAGAACCAAGAGGAATCAATGGTTTGGCATCACATTCTACAGCCACTGGCCAGCAGCTCCAAAGGGAGACATCAGTTCCAGCATTAGAGGGACACTGTACAGGACAGCAGCAATTCCAGATGGGATGAGTTTAACCAAGTGGAATTAAGGACACTGATTCTGAGCAAGAGCTCCTGCCCAGGGTTTAACCAGCTCTCACATTTCTGCTTTCTCCATCAGGCAAAGCTTTATCTCTACTCCAGTGGCTGAGGGACATGAAAATGTAGCTAAAACCACTTTTCTGGCTGTTTTTGTGTCCCCCGTAGAGCTGTGCTCACTGCTGGCAGGTAACAGAACACACCCCACCGTGAGCCTGCATCGCTGCACCACTCTTTGTTTCCAGGCATTTCTGCAAAAGCCTCCTCCCAACAGATCCAGCTGTGCCGATAGAAAATGAACCTCAAAATAAACAAGTCAAGCCCAAACTGCTCCCCCGGACGAGGAGCTGTCACTGCTGACTGTCAGCACATCAGGGACCCTCCCTTCGCCTGTTCCGTGGCCGGAGTTTTCCTCCAGGCGAGGTTGAGGGAGCTCCACGGAGGAACCTCCGGCTCTGCCGGGAATAATTCAGGGCAGGAGCTGCCTGGCTGCTGCTGCAGGGATGGGGAGGGAGAGAAGGCTGTGTTTGAGAGAAAGCAGCAGGAGGGGCAGCGCTGCTCGTACGGCAGCAGCTGCTTTTCTGTTTTTATAGGAAAAGGGAAAATGCTGTCCGCTCCTCCCAGAACCCGCATGGATTTACTGCTGCTGGAAATAGAAATGGTGTGATTCGGGCAGGGACACGGGGGCTGGGGTGGCAGGCGGGACAGAGGGGAAAGAAAAGAATAATAGACCTTTTAATACCCCAAGAATTCCGTTTTTGAAAGCAGAAAGAGATCCTTGAAAGCTCCCCCCGAGAACCATGTGCAGCCGCACAGAGCAGAACCCTCTCCACCAGATGGGCTGGGAGGAAGAATTAAAGGTGATTTATACGGCTGCCTCGTCCCTAAACAATTTGTTCCTAAAGGCTTAACAAAGCCGGCTGCAGCAGCTTCGCCGGCTGAGCGTGTGCTGTGGAGAACAGAATTCATTAGAAGGGCAGCCAAAGGCTCAGACATAGGCGCCACAAAGCGAAGGCACCGGCGGAGCCATCCTCATCCTCACCGGGCGGTGGCAGTCCTCATCCAGGCGGGAATGCCAATGCAGCAGCCGGGAATGACGAGGGGCTGGCTCCTGCCTTCCTCCGCAAGGCTGCTGCATTACCGGGAGCGGCGGAATCCGCACGATCCCGTGCCCGGCCCGGGGGAAGGAGGGGCCGCGGCTGCCGCTCCCCAGCCGGGCTGCACCGCAGGAACGCTCCGGTTCAGCCACCGAGTACCGATGGCAATGGAATTAACCCGGCGCGATGTGCTGTTCCACAGGCTGGGAACGCGATGGCCTCGGCAGCACTACCCACACCACACCCAACCTCCTGCGTCTCACTCGAGATGCTTCAACTCATCCTGTCCTCCTCCTTGCCCTGTCACAGACGTACAAAACCTCCTCGTACTGTTCCAGGCTGTGTGCAAATCGAAAGAATTCCATCGTCCTTCTGCTCAGCTGCTCTTGTAAGACAGTCATTTAAAAACCAAACACACTCAATTCCCTTCTTTTCCTGTTTTTCTGTTTATCAGGCTGTGTCTCAGGTGGGTTAGACAGCCATACCTCATTCCTAGAGCACAGAAATAAAGGCTTAGATCCCTCCCTGCCTTTCCACACTGGCAAAGCCAAGGAATAGCTGGCTGGGGTTTTATGCAGAGGTTAAAGATCAGAGAAGCTGTGGCTGATCCATAATCCCTGGAAGTGCCCAAGGCCAGGTTGGACAGGGCTTGGAGCAGCCTCGGATAGTGGAAAGTGTCCCTGCCCATGGCAGGGGCTGGAACAAGATGATCCTCAAAGTCCAATCCAAACCACTCTGTGACTTTTGGTGTGACACCAATTTACCCAGTGCCCAACTGACACTTCACCCTCTCCACAAGGGAGAACAAAGCTATTTTTGCTCTTCCAGCTCTGTTCTGAAGGCTTCCTCTCCCAGGCTGCGATTCCACCCCCAGCCCAAGCTCCTGAGAGCCAAGACCCAGCACGAGCAGCTCCCCAGAGCAATGGAGGGGGAGGAAGGGCCCCAGAGCTGCGAGCTGAGAACACCAACACACAGGCTGTGGCACTGCAAGAGGAGAAGAGCATGTGAAGAGTTAATCCATGTGGGAGGATACAAGGAACCAATACCAGCCTAGCACATACCAGGAAAATGTGTTGTTTACTTAGAGCACTGCAGAAGGGCTCAATAGCAGCAGATCCATCGCTCAAAGCTGCCCGGGCAGCGACCGTTCCCAACAGATGGTACATTTTTCACGACTGAGGTTCTCTCAAGTGTCAGATATATATATATATATATATATATATATATATATATATATATAAAT